GCACAAGGAAAACTATTTGGCAAACCGTTCCTCAAGGAACTCAATAAACACGTAAATGTGTTCACCTCCCTTAATAAGGCGCAATCCTCTATGCGCAGAGTTTTCAGGAGCAACCCTACCAGAGGGGTTTTTGGAAGGGCTGGCCGGCAGCGGGGCCGTGCCGCCAGCTGCTTTTGGCCTTCAGGCCCCAGCACCCAACCAACACCGTCCTACCCCACAAGGGACTATCGGCAGCAACCCTTTTCCAGAGGCTCGGATAGAGGTCGTGGACCCCGCGGACGCGGGCGTTCCCGCTTTGCTGCAGGTAAGGAACCATATTCCTCCACTGTTACCATGCACCCGCACTGCGGGCCGTATTTCCCTTTCTTTCCAGAATTGGGCCGCCCTATGCTCAGACACATGGATCCTACAAACAGTACAGGGATATATCATAGACCTAGTGGGGACCCCCTTTCAGGTTCAGCCCCTCGCCCCATCCACATGTCGTCCTCCGACCACAACCTCGTCAACGCGGAGCTACGCGAGCCCCGAGACAAAGGGGCCATCCAGCCGGCCCATGACGAGGGTGGTTACTTCAGCAACATCTTCCTGGTTCGGAAAAAGTCAGGAGAATACCGACCGGTCATCAATCTACGCGCCCTCAACGCACATGTGGTCTATCGCCACTTCAAGATGGAGGGCATCCACCTCCTGCGAGACCTTCTTCGAAGCAACGACTGGTTCACCAGGCTCGATTTGAAAGATGCATATCTGTCAGTCCCGGTGCACCCGGACTGTCGAGCACTCCTACGTTTCCTCTGGCACGGACGCCCTGGGCAATTCACTTGCCTCCCTTTCGGGCTCAGCTCAGCCCCATGGTGCTTCACCAAGCTTCTAAAACCAGTGGTGGCCCACCTGAGATCCAGGGGCAGTCGATACATCATCTACTTAGACGACCTTCTCCTTTTCTGCTCCGATGAACACAGACTACGCCAACACACTCACTTGGCAGTGTCCCTACTGGAATCTCTGGGTTTCGTGGTAAACCAACCCAAATCGGAACTGACCCCTACTCAGACGATACAATTCCTCGGCTTCGAGATCGACCCGACGACATGCACTCTGAGACTACCAGCCTCAAAGATCACAGCCATTCGCAAGGAGATTCGCAGGGTTCTCCGTCTCGACTCCATTCCACTACGCAACCTGGACAGGATTGTAGGTCTCCTCTCTGCTCCCATTCAAGCCATATTTCCAGGTCCCCTCCACTACAGGGCCATGCAACGTCTCAAGGCGAAATACCTACGCCACAGACCTACTTACGACCAACCCGTCCCGGTGACGACGGAGGTTCGCGAAGAACTATCATGGTGGCTGGACAGCATGCAAGCCTGGAACGGCAAGGCCATATTCGGAGACACTCCAGACTTCGTATTGGAATCAGACGCCAGCCTGTGGGGATGGGGTGCCACCAACGGAACCATCTCCACGGGAGGGACATGGATGGCACAGGAGCTCTCCATGCACATCAATTGTCTCGAACTCCTGGCGGGATCCTTTGCGACCCGCAGCCTGGCCCGGGAAAGATCCAACTGCTGCATCCTCCTGCGCATGGACAATGTCTCCGCAGTCCAGTACATCAACCATCTGGGAGGCGCTCGCTCACGCCTACTGTCGGATATCACAAGGGACATCTTCGACTATTGCCCCTCGCAACAATCACCAGACCCCGGAGTTCTTCAGCTGGCTCCCGGACCCGGAGAGCAAGGCGACAGACGCATTTCTCCAACAATGGCCGACGACAGGAGCCTACGCCTTTCCCCCATTCTCCATGATTGCGAGAACACTACACCAGATGCGGACGCAACAGATCAAACTGGTTGTCATAACGCCCTTGTGGCAGAGCCAACCATGGTTCCCGGACCTCCTGGCCTCCTCCTACAGGGACCCTCTCCTCCTTCCATCCTTCCCGGACCTGCTCACGGATCCCAAAGGGTATCTCCACCCACTACTCCTGGAAGACCGGCTACCCCTGGTGGCTTGGTCTCTTTCCGGGGTTCCTGGCGAGTCAGCGGACTATCGCAGACTGCTAGGGACCTCTTATGGGACTCATGGGCCCCGGGAACTAGACGCTGTTACCTTTCAGCTTGGGCCTCCGGGTCTACTTGGTGCATGGAACGGGACTCCGATCCCTTTACTGCATCTATTCCCATGATTCTTAATTTTCTTTCCTCCTTGTTTTCATCTGGCCGCTCTTACCGTTCGGTCAACGTCGTTTGCTCCGCGATTTCAGCGGCTCACACCCCCGTCGGGGATCTCCCGGTCGGCAAAGACCCTCTGGTCTGCCGTCTACTCCGTGGTATGCGGCTCCGCCGCCCCCCGGCCCCCAGATACCCTCACCTATGGGATGTGGGACTGGTTCTCCGTTTTTTCAGGGATTGGCTTCCGAATGACCGCCTCTCCCTACGCCAACTATCCGCTAAGTGCGCTTTCTCCTTTGTCTAGTATCTTTCCGACGGGTTTCGGATGTTAGGGCCTTCGACGTGGACGCTTTCGAGGTGGCCCCGGAAGGGGTCACGTTCCACATTTCCCGCCGCACTAGGTCGGGTTCGACTTCGGTCTTCTACCCCTTTTTCCCCCGACGACCCGCAACTCTGTGTCGTGTCCACCCTTCGCAGGTATGTTTCCGTTACCTCCTCACTCCGATCCTCTACGTCGGGCCAACTCCTAGTCTCCTACGTGCGCCCTCACGCCCCAGTCTCGGTCACCACACTGGCCCGATGAATCCGCTGGATCCTTTCCCTCGCAGGTATAGATCCCGCGTTCGGCGCCCACTCCGTTCGCGGTGCGACGGCTTCATCAGCCTTCCTGGCAGGGGCGTCCCTCTCGGATATTCTCCGAACGGCGGACTGGTCTAGGGAATCCACTTTCCGTACATTTTATTTTCGCACTCCCCCTTCTGCTGGGATGTCACTTCTTCAGCGTTAAAATTGCAAAATAGGAAGCCTCCTGTCATGTTATAAAATTGAAGATTATGCTAGCTTTAGTGTACTAATAATCTTAATTTTAATAAGGACAGGAGGCGAGTATTTTCCCTCCCTTTTGTTCCCTACCCTGACTCCTCGGGGGAGTGGATCTTAAGGTGATGGACTTTGAGATTCATATTAGTAGTTCCACTATCTTCTGGACATATTCGGTATCCCTTCCATCTCTATCCCTGTGTTTCCACCTAGACGGACAGTTTAGTTGTACAACATGCTTACACCTAACACATATTTAGCCTATGGCCAGCTTACAATCTGTCTGTACTGTTTAATTTACACCATTCTGTTAAAGCCCACAGGCATGAACAGTTACGGTTCAGTACCTAACCGATTTTATACTCTCCTTTCAGTGTAACCCTCTTCAGGACCTCCACTGGTCGATGGTTCGTTAACCTCACAACTCCGTAAGATGGGATGACGGCTTCGTTTGGTCTTTCCTCCTATCTCGTTACCAGGAGTCTCCTCAAGTTCCGCTCGCCAGAGACCGCAGTTACTGTTTCGTTGAGTTTCTGGATGTTCGAGCTCTATCTGGACTTGGATGTCGCTTTAAGAAAGAGGAAGTGTACAGGCAGCATGACCCTTATATACTATGCTGCTCAGTGATTTATTTGTTACTCTTTACGTTTTTCTTTACTGCTGTGGAGTTTAGTAAAGAGAGTTAATGCAAAATACTCGCCTCCTGTCCTTATTAAAATTAAGATTATTAGTACACTAAAGCTAGCATAATCTTCAATTATCTCCAACGACAGAGGCAAAACTCCATTGAACACATGGCAGCAAAAGACAATAAAACACATAAAAATATATAACTCTGCAGCCATTGCACAAAACAGGTACATTCAACATATCCCCAGATAGCTCAGATCTGAGCGCACATTATTACTGAATGGCGCTCAGAGCACACACCATGGAGCCAAAGTCTTTCCCATAGTCTTTCATTATACGAATGGGCTCCATGGCATAGCTATCTTGGGTATCACCGCTCAAACAGGGCAAGCACCGAATGACCCGGCTTTCGTGTATTCGCAGGGAAAAAAACAAACGTTTCAACGTGGGGCCATAGTCTAAAGGCAGAAGGCGGGCAACCAGGCTTCTCCAGTGCATAGTGGCGAGGTTGGTTCCGCCACACTATGTTTTTGAGATGTAGAATATGTGATGACATGCCACACCCATGGTAGACTGCAGAATAGAGTTTAGATACTCCGCCCCTCAGGAACTCCTACACCGAACAGCTGATGGCCATGTTCCATCAGCAAAAAGTATTTAAATGAAACAACAAGCTGCTCATGTACACAGGCTTCTGATGACGGCGTTGTGAACATGCCGAAATGCGTATCAAGCATTTTCTTTTTCTTTAATCTCTGCACTTGGTAGCACTTTTTTAGAACTGGCAATAACTGAGCCTGGCAGATACCCACATCCAATGGTAACTGTCTAAGCTCAACCTCTTGCTTATTACCAAGGATCTAGTTGGTTTGGCAACTCTTATTTGTTTTGTTTTGCTTGTTTTTTCTGTTTTGTTCATGTTAAGAAAATCGCAAAATAGTGAATGTACCTTACCGAATAATAGCTTAAAAGCATAAATGATGATGTCACTCGTGTTATATTTGTGTACCATGCATTTATAATAAAAATGGTTTTGGAAAAAAATTTATGAAATGTAATACTTTAGTGAGTTTCAAAATTAGAGCACCTCTCAATGTATAGTGTATGAAATGAAATGCACCTGATATGTCCCTTCCATTTCACAAACCAAGTCCTACTTTCATGGTGTTTCTCCAATATCCTTCTTCCCTAGGACAGAGGACATATATAATGGAAAGTTTTCAAGCTCACAAATGCAGGAGCACGAAGCAGCCGAGCTGAACAGCCGCTTGACAAAAGAGCTCCGGCATTTTCGGGCCCAAATTCATCTATTATACACAATTAACCCCGGTTTGGGCTCCCCTCAGGGTCCAAGGGTGACAAAACAACAAGATGGAGCGCAAGACCAAGAAAATAAAACCGGAAAAACCACGGCAGGGACCTAATATTGTGGATCTCCTACAGCAGACACGCGAGACCGCTAGGCCCAAAATGGCAGCCTACCCAGAAACCTATTCCGAATTATCAGACAATTTCTCCTCAGGGGACGAGGAAGCGGACTTAACACCCATGCAAAGACCAACACCAGCCGCCCAAAAGGCGGATGCCTCACCGGTAACTACGGCGGTACTGAAGACGCTCCTCGCGGACCTCCAAAAGAACATTCAAACGGATGTAGCCTCACTCCGCAACGACATACACGGCCTGAGAGGTCGAATGGGAGCACTGGAGACTGCCTCCAATGTCTGCTCAGATCAAATTACCTCACTACAACAAGTGGTCCAAGGATTGCAGAAACAGAACGAAGAGCATGAACGCCGTTTCACGGCCCTGGAGGATGCACGCCGGGCTAATAACATCAAGGTACGGGGCATCCCAGAGGACACTCCACAGGCCGAAATGCCGCACCTACTAGTGGCCCTACTATCACCACGGCAGGCAAAAGCAATTACCATGGACAGTTTCTTCCGGGCCCCAAAGTCGGCCTCGGCACCAGCGGCAGCGCCACAGGACCTGATCGTGCGGTTCCAGCAATACCCAGCCAAAACCACTGTCCTGGCTGCGACCAGAAACTGTTACCCCTACAAATTCAAAACAATGGCACTATCTTTTTACACAGACCTCACAGGGGGCACTTTGGCTCAGACCACTCACAACGCTTCTGCAGAAACGTGGACTAAAATATAAATGGCACAAGACCCGCAAATTGATGATCCTACACGAAAATACCACACACGAGGTGTGAGACCTCCGGGAAGCCAAAGCACAACTACCCACACTGGGATTCCCTCAGGACTCTCTGCTGGTGCTGAGACTCAGGGAACAACCAAGCCAGCACATAGATGGATCCCCGAAAGAGTGACACCCTTCATCCCTCGCGGACCCACGGCGGACCTGATCAGGACTGTGACTACCTGAAACATGTTGGACACTGAACCATGGTATGCCGGACTTAATAGTTGAATATACTTACCTGTTACACAGCCACGGTTAGATTATTAGGCTGCTAAAGTTAATTGTCTGTTGGTTACACTTCTTTAAAAGGAAGGTCCATCGACCGCATTGTTTCCCCCCCACCCCCCCCGCCCGACACTAGTCTAGCATACCTTCCAAGCATAACCCTGCCATAGCCGGGCATAATTTTTACCAGATATAGGCACAACTCGCCCTACAAGAAAAGTCCTGGTGGCACTACAATGGTGAATAAACGCCAGTAATGCTCACTAAGATAGCAATACCAACCAGGATAAAACACTAAATTATGTGATTGTCCCCAGTACTGCCTCTGTACTTAGTTATCTTATTTTATTTTATTTTATTTCTATTTCACCAGGGAACAATAAAAGCACTCTTTGAGACAATAGAGGAAGCTGCTCACTCACTCAAAGCATTATAGGGAATCTGGTGTATAGGCTAATGCTTTGATAGCTTATTTTATTGCAGGTTGACATACCTCTTTGGAAGCAAAATCGTTCATCATTCTACCCTGTCTTTTTCCAAATGTCCGTTGGTGCAGACCGTTTCAGTGCAAAAGTATAGTATCTGTTTGGCTCCCTCTGTTAATTCATCTTCCTTCTCCTGCAGATTAAAAATGCAGGAGAGGACAGAAGAAAATTGTTAATTTCTGCCTTTTTTAAAACTAGTGTGCTCATGGTTAAGAGAAGCTTGCTATAGCATCATATTGTTTTCTGTCAGTGACTAACTAAGTTGGTAAGTGATAGAGGGTTACTAGAGGGTACCTTTGTTTTCCAATATGGTTATGGGCATTCTAAGACCTGTCACTACAATGGTGAATCTTCAAGTCAGATGCTCCCGATGTCTTCTCAGTCTGCAGTCAGCATTCCCAAGGCCACCACTCTGTTTTATGGTGCCCCAAACTAAGTGAGCTCTTTCGTGTCATACATGGGAGCTAAATATGCAAATATGCATTGCTTACACTTGCACTCTGCCAAAATTGTCATGCTTCTTTGAGCACTTAGAATTAGAAACTATACACTCCAACTGTCTTCCCCACCAGAAAACAAGGGATCCAAGATTAGGATTATCAACCTGTATGCTGGATGTTCTCTAATTTTATCACATGACAGGAGGCTTCCTATTTTGCATTTCTCTCTTTACTAAACTCCACAGCAGTAAAGAAAGTGAAACATTTAACCAATGAAAAAAATGCAATAGGGAGTAGGAGTTCCCAACAATTAGGCTCCTCCCCCTCTTTCTTTACTGCTCCATCGCAGACAGGTCAGAGTTTTTGGCTCTCCTTTTATATGCATATATATATATATTGAATTTTATTGTTTATTACTATAAATTTTGGGGATTACTATTTTAATAGCTTGTAGTCCATCTACATGTTGTACACATTCATCCACTTATAATTTACATATTTCTGGTAAATTTGACTTTAGAGTTTATTGTTTTTTTCCTCAGGGTGTTATTTACTTATTTGTATTTCTTTATTTAGTTAGTTTGGGGGGCTTCCCCCTTGGTAACCACCCTGCTCGTTTTTCCCTTGTTGTACCTCTTTATGAGGTAATCTCTTTCTCTGCCTGGCTTCCGCCTGGCTCCCTCTTTTCCCCCGCCCGCGGGAAGACCTGGCCACATAGCCCTTTTCCCGCCCGCGCAAGAAATCAGCCGCACGACGGATTTTGCCTCCGTCGGACACCTTATCCCCTATCCCGGCCCTTTCAGCCGCTTCGCAGCTCTGTCACTGCGCGTCTTCCCTCACACCACGGCTCCCAGCCCAGCCGGCATTCTCGCGGCGGCCATTTGCAATCTCGCGTCTCGCGAGATTGCGGCCGCCATTTTGAGTATCCTATCAGTTCCGCGAGCCTGCGACCGGAGACAGTCCTGTTACCTCTAGAGGTCAGTCCCTAATATAAAAAATAAAACTGCTGTATCCAGGCACTTAAGGGATC